TGGCCCCCAAACCTGCCTGTTACAACATCTCAAATGCCAAAGTACAATGTGAAATTCTTAATTACAACACCTACTACATGAAGCTTCAGTGCTTAGCTGGCTCTGGAGCAAGAGCAGCTCCTACTGCTGTCAAATTCCCAGGCTGAGCTTTGGAGACACAGGCAGGCAACTACCTGGAGAACAAAGCAAATCAGAGGTTTTTTGTAGAATTTTTTCAGGAAGTTTAAGGTCAGCTTAGACAGTTATGTGGCTGTGCCCATGACAGCTCAGGTAGCAGGAATGGCTGAGCCAGAGGCAAGGTGGACACCTCCCATAGGCAAAACACTGTTGGAACAGCACCAGCAAAAAACCATGATCTGTTTGGCAGGTGCAAACCCTGGGTCTGCTCCCTTTCCCACATTTAAGCCCATTCCCATATTTCCCATAAATATTTCCCATATTTAAGCCCACGTTCTCCAGGGTACACAGAATCCCAGAATGGTTTGGTTGGAAGGGAACCTAAAGAACATCTCATTCCACCCCCTGTCAAGGGCAGGGACACCTTCCACTGTCCCAGGTTGCTCCAAGCCCAATCCAACTTGCCTTGGACACTTCCAGGGATACGTCTCCAGAACTCCCTCTTCCCTCCCAGCACACATTTTCTGCATGGTCCTTCATCTGCTCTGTTTGTCAGCAACAGCCTCCCTTCATCTCCACCACCAGTATTGGATTTAGTTTTTTCTGACATTAAACTATTTTCACCCTTTTGTTGCTAAAACTGCCTGAAAATAAAGTTTGGTAAACATGCCATGAAACTTAAGGATAGAACATGAAAGGAAATTACTCTCTGCATAAAATGCTTATGTATATAAAGCACTTTAAATGTGCTTTATGGGCTTGGCAGAACTCAGCCCCTTCTCCAGAGCCTCCACCCCGTTTGGGAGATCTGAGTTCAGTTATATTCCTGCTGTAACACTTCACTTTTCCTGAAGTGAGGCAAATGGGAGCATTTCTGGCAGGAGCAGAGGAGCTGGGGGCTCTCTAGAGTGAAGTGACATTCAGAAGTGATCTGTGGGACACCTTGTGCCTTGCACAGCGTGACAACACCTGCCCCAGGCTCCTTCCCCCGCTGGAGAAGGTTCCAGTCAGTGATCCAGGGGAGCTGATATAAAGCCTGCTGCCTCTGAACGTCACCCAGGCCCTAAACAACATTTTAGTGTGCTGTTTGTCACCCACGGGCTAAGCAGGGAAAATGCAGCAAGACACAACCAATGGCACAGGCTGCTTCCCACTTCCATGAACCAGGGAGGCAGCCAAGGCCAGAGCCACTCATGGCACGGACATGACACGAGGCAGGACAAGGGCACCATGTCACCACTCCCAGGCCATCCTGGTTTTTTCCCAAAAAAGAGAAAGTCAGGCTGCTCTTGCTCCTGCTCATCTGGTGGGTCCCTATTCCAATTCCCTGTACAACGCCGCGGGATGCACAACATCCATGGGAGAACGGCTTTGGATGAGGACCTGGAGGGACAGGACACAGGGAATGGCTTCCCACTGCCAGAGGGCAGGGTTAGATGGGATAGTAGGAAAAAATTCTTCCCTGTGAGGGTGGATAGGCCCTGGCACATGTTGCCCAGAGAAGCTGTGGCTTCCCCAGGATCTCTGGAAGTGTTCCAGGCCAGGTTGGATGGGACTTGGAGCAACCTGATCTACTGGAAAGTGTCCCTGCCCATTCCATGATTCTATAATCACATTCAGCTTGAAATGTTGACTTGTCTCTTCTTTCAAGTCCCAGCACTTCATTTACTTTTCCCTTTCACAAGCCAGTCATTTGGTTGTGAATATTTCTGGCTTTTTGTGTGAAGGCCCCTCTGTCTGAAACATCTCAGCTTTCACTTGTCAGGTTCCCAGCATTCAGTCACAAGAAATGCCAGGAAGTGGAAACTGAAAATCCATCATAAAAGGGCAGAAATCAAACAACAATCAGAAAGGATATTAATATGGATAAAATGAAAAACAACCTAGCAAAATCACAGTTTTCTTTTCAGTTCAACCCAGTTAAACTTCAGTTATTTTTCAGTTACTGTGCACAGTGTTCAGTTTTTTCAGTTATTGTGTGCAGTGTAAGATGTGGCAGAGATAATCTCTGGCCTGTGCTGGAGAGGAGCCCCCTATCCTCAAAATAGTTCCTTGGCTTTTCCTGGCTCCCTTTAGGAGCTCTCCTAAATCCCCTATCCAGCTTGAAAACCCTCACCAAAAAGTATCTATAACCTCTGTAATGCCTGTTATGGTTTTAAAACTGAATTCTTGCTAGGTGGACCGTTCCAATTTCAACACAAAATTGGCCATGATGGGAAAGATGAGATTTCACACTATTTGTTCCAGTCTGTGCTGTTTCAAGGAGTGACTGGGAGCAGGGATCTCACTGGATCAGAGAGATCAGGCTGCTGAACATCTGCAAGTGCCAAGCACAAAGAATTTTAGTCAAAAATCAGAGTAATCTACTACAAACCTCCATGAGCTGGCTGGACTTTACCGTGCCAGGCAGAACTTGGACTAACAATCCTTATTTTGGGCAAAGCAGGTTCCACTACTCACAGCAAGGAATTATTTGTGATTTTTTTCATCTGCAGCTGCCTCAACCATTCAGTTGAGAGGTCTGTGCACCGCTTGGCACGTTCAGGAAGAGCCTTAAATGAGGCATAACCTGATGCTGACCTTTAGCCCAAGGCTAAATCCTACTTTGGATGCATCACCCCTACAGAGCTCCCAGGGATGTGACAGAGACCCAGCTATGACCAGGGGCAATCCCACATACTCATCCTAATTTGCTCTGTGAGCTTTAAAAAAGCAAATTATTTTTATGAAACAAAGGAGGGTTGCACTAAGCAGCTGCCTGTTTTCAGGCCTGAGTAACTAGGGCAAAGTTTGATCCATTTCAAAATAGCGTTAATATTTTTAATGACCCATAAGCCCATTTTTAGAACAAAGCAAGGACTTTCTCCTTTCTGCCTTAGTTTCAGGAAAAGCCCAAGCCTCCTCCTTTGCCAGCTGAAAAATGTAGCAGTGGAAGAGTCACCCCATGGACTGATGTCACCACACAATGCTGCAGTCACTGGATGTAAACACAGCTTTCAAGGCAATGAGGTTTTGTTGTATAAATAGAATAAATACATTTATAAAGGCAGCTTTTTCTTTTGCTTTCCTAGAAAAAAAAAAAAAAAAAAAAAAAAGCATTTCACTCAATTTCTTACTCGCAATGTCAACCAGCCTGGCAAAAAGCCAGAAAATCCTCTAGGAATAGGTGAATGTCTAAGGGATACAGGGAATTATTTTGAGCTGTGGATGGGTGGCAGCAGAAGGCAGCTGATCCCACAGAGATCCACTTGGATCCATGGACGCTTCCAGATTCTTGCAGAGAAGCTCAGGAAGAGTTCACCCCTCAGTGACACATCACATTTCCCGGGAGCAGGGCTCAGCAGCCCAGGCTGAGAAATACGCCTAAATCCCTTGCTGGATGCAGGCTGTACTTCCCAGGATGATGCTTCCTCCGCTTCCATCCGGCATCATTTGCATCCCCTCCTCCTGCTCTCAGGGTGTGCAGGGAAGGCACCAGCGTGTGGACGTGTGTGCAATTCCCAGCACGCACGGAGTCAGGGCTGCCACGTCTGTCACACGCTCCGCGAGACAAAGCTGAGAATGGCACCACATTCCCTGGCAAGTTTTCCCTCCGGTTTACCCAAAGGATCTGAGGACCTTCATTAAGTCACAGCTAAACACGGCACCGATCAAATGAGCTTCGCCCATTTTGTTCCCCCCCCCGCTCCATCCCAAAAAGCCCATCACCGGATCAGGAGCTCCGTTATCCCATCGCTTCCTCCAGCATGCCTCCGAACTGTTAATCATTGCCATGGGAAATCCTCCGCTCATCTACACAAATTAGAATGTAATTTGTGTATCTAAGCATCACAGCTCAGCTCACCCGCTCTGCCTGAGGAGCCGGGATACCGCCGGCACCCGTGAGTGAGCTCCCATGGAATTACGACTCCGGAGGAAACGGCAAATTACTCTCCTCAAATAACGGGAACCGGCTGGATAAAATCGGATTTCCTACGGAACAGCGTGTCGGTGGGAGTGGGTGAAGCCTTTCACCACAGGCAGGCTGAAGGCGGAGGAGCCCCTTGCTGGGTGCAGCCCACCTGTGGGACCAGCCTGGGCTCCAGGGGGAAGCGGCAGCTGCCGGAGGATCCAGGCGCCTCTGGAGGGAAGCGAAGCCTTGCAGGAAGACACCACAGAACTTCCTCCTCCCGTGCCCCAGCTCCGCTCCCCGGCACTGCTGCCCCGGCTCCCCCGGCATCAGGGGGCTGTGAGGGGATGGGTTTAAAATGGGCCCTGTCAGGAGGGTGACTCGACAACTAAATCCTACAGCTTCCAGAAACGGGGGAAACCCTCTGGAGGGGTGACAAGCCAGGGGTGGCCTTGTGGCTCTGCCTGTGGAAGGCGGGGTGAGCGGGATCCCTGCTCCCGGATGAGGGGGGTGGTGGCTGAGGTGGCATCCCCCATCAGGGGCTGAGGGGACAGCAGGGCCGGGGTAACGGGTGTCAGGGCAAGCCGGAGGAGCAGCCCAAAGGCTCCCCAGGGAGCTGCCGGGGCTGTCTGGCCCCGGCTGTGTCAGGGGGTCCCGCCGCAGCCAAGCCGAGGGCGGTGACCAGCCCGAGCCGGGGACAGCTCGCCTCAGGAGGCCCCGGAACGAGGGGCGCCCCATCCCGCACCCCCGCTCCCCGTCACGCTGGCGGGGCGGGACGGGCGGACCCCCGGCCCCTCAGGGATAGCGCGGAGGTGTCCCAGACGCCCGTGTGTCCCCTCGGCACCGGGCAGCCCCCCGCCCCGCCCGGGCTAGCCGAGCCCCCCGCCCGCGTCCTCCCGCCGCAGCCCCGCCCCGGTGCGGCCCGCGGCCGCCTCAGGCCCGGCATTGTCCGCGCTCCCCCCGCTCCCCCCCGGTTCTGCCATCGCCGCCCTACCCCAGCTGCTCCTGTCCCGGCGGTTCCGGGCCATGGCGGCGGCTGCGGGAGGCTCCGTGCGCGCTCCGAGCCGCGCTGCGTCTGGCGGGGCTGCGGCGGCGGCGCGGGGCGGGCGGGGGAGCCGGCGGCGGCGGCGGCAGCAGCAGCATAGGGCACCCGCCCACGGCACCCGCGGGGCCGGCCCCGGCACCGCTGCTCGGGGTGCGCGCAGCCGGGGGGGCCCCGCGGGCGGGGCGAGCGGCACCCCCGTGGGTGCTGAATTGCCACCCGAGGGGGGGTTGGTGGTGGGGATAGGAGGATCCGGCATCCAGGTTAGCCCAGCCGGGGCACTGGGATCTGGGGGGCACCCGAACTGGGGGCACCGCCAGCGGCGGCCGTGCAGGGGGTATGGGTGGGGGGCTCAGCAGACAGGCTGCTCCAATATCCAGGCTATTCCTGCCAGAGCAGTGGGATCGTTGGGGCATCCACACGCTGGAGATATCCACCCTAGGGCAGGGCACCTGGCTCATCTGGGGCTCTGAGCACCCCTGTGGGCACCCACCCACAGGGTGGGACACCTGGCACAAGCAGGACGCGTGGTGAGTGCATGGGGACACCTGGGCTGAGAAGTCAGCACTGGTGTCAGCCAGACCCTGCTCCCCAGTTCCACCTGTGCAGGCAGCAGGAGACACTCACTGTGTTAATGCAGATGTGGCACAAAGGACGCAGTGTGAGGGCTGGATTTGGACACCTCTGGGAAGGACTAAAATGCAGCACAGTTGATAACATAGAATCCCAGAATGGTCTGGGTTGGAAGGGATGGAAGGCATCCTAAAGCTCATTTCATTTCGCCCTCTGTCATGGGCGGGAGTCCTCTCCTTTTCCTTTCCTTTCCTTTTTCCTATCCCCAATGTCCAGCCTGGCCTTGGACAATTCCAGGGATCCAGGGGCAGCCACAGCTGCTCTGGGCACCCCGTGCCAGGGCCTCACCACCCTCGCAGTCAAGATTCCTTCCCAATATCTCATCTAACCCAGATGACGCCATTCCCTGTGTCCTGTCCCTCCAGCCTTGTCCCCAGTCCCTCTCCAGCTCTCCTGGAGCCCCTTCAGGCCCTGCCAGGGGCTCTGAGCTCTCCCTGGAGCCTTCTGTTCTCCAGCTCTCCCAGCCTGGCTCCAGAGCAGAGGGGCTCCAGCCCTCAGAGCATTTCCATGGCCTCCTTTGGACTTGCTCCTGCAGCTCCACATCCTTCTCATGTTGGGGGCCCCAGAGCTGGGGGCAGCACTGCAGGTGGGGTCTGTCACAAAAGCAGAGTAGAGGGGAATAATCCCTTCCCTGAACCTCCTGCCCACCCTGCTGGGCATGCAGCCCATGCTGTGTTTGGCTTTCTGGGCCCCACGGGGAGCTTGCCCACTCCCACCCACTCCATGCGCACCAGCATGGGAATGCCCACACTTATGATGCCAACAAGCTGCTGGAATCAACCTGACTCTGAAGCCACAGCCCAATGCTCTTTGGGAGACACGTGGCACAGCACTCAAAGATCAGCTGATTAAACTGTGGAAATGTGGTGGTCACCAGAGGGACAAAATCTGGCAGGATGGGAAGGGAACTGAGCCCCAGATTGTACCTGCAAGAGGAGATGTTGGGAGAATGCTGATCATTTCTGCACTCTGGCCCACAGCAGTCAGGGAAAGCCAGTGGCCATCCAGCTTTGTTGGATTCACAGGAGCCAGCAGGATCTCTTCACTCCTGACAGCGGGAAGAACACTCAAAAATGAACCAGGCTTCAGTTCCAGGCATCTGATGTGTACCAAAGCCATGTGTCGTTGTGCTGCCATTGATATGCTGATAGTTAATTCCTGAGTGCCTCCTCCAGCACTCTGTGAGTGCCTCCCGTTGGCCTCTTCCCCGTGTTTACAGCATCAGAAGGAAACATGTAATTTTGGCTCTCTCACGTGGCACACAGCTGAATCCTGCCCACCCCTGCTGGGCACTGCGACCACGAGGAGCTCACTGGGCTTTGCAGAAGCTGCATTAGGGTTTTTGTAAATAATCCCTGAGACTGCACGTGCCTGTTGCTGCTTCAATGCAGCAGAGAGGAGACAGGTGTTGTGAGGAGGGATTTCTTACACTGGACACTGTCAGAGGGGTTCAGATAGGTTGAAAGAGGAGATTAAAAGAAAAGCAGCTGGGAAATGGACAGGGGAGGGAAAAAATAGAGGATGGAAAGGGAAATGTGGTAATTTGAAAGTCTAATTAAACGGAGATGGGCTCAGGTCCTGTTTTCCTCATTCCATTTGAGAATTGCTGCTAAGGTCAAGCTTGTACTGCCCCATTTATTGGAATTTCTCCTTTTCTCTCGCCATTATGGCACGTGTTATCCCAGTCAAAGAGAAGCAGAGAGGTTTGATCCTGTTCTGTGCTGTGGGGATTGTCTGCATGAACTCCCAAGGCCTTTTCCTGCATTATTTCCTGTGATCCCAAGTCAGGGGGGTGATCTTTTTTTCCAGAGAGTGACTCAGCATTTGTTAATTTTCATCCATCCCTTCTCTCCACCGATTCATCTTTCCTTTATTTTCCCAGTTGCAAGCATCTTTACATTCTTGCTGCCCAAGTTGCTAGATCACAAAGAGCTGATTTTACAGCAGATGTGCTGAATGGTCATGGACTGGAAGAATTCTTGAGTAAAAATGATGCTAAATGGAGGAAAGACAAAAAGATAAAGTACCCCACAGAGGGAGAGCACAGCTGGTGTTCAACACCACGAGATCCAGCGCAGAAAAAGCCCCAGAATTTGAAGAAAGCCTGGATTTAAATCCATGCTGCATTCCATTGGCAGGAGCTGTTTCATAATTTACCTTGATTCCATGTCCCACTTACCCAGGCAGCATTTCCAGTTGCTTTTCATATCCCCAGCCCTCTGCAAACAGAACCCGGGCGCGTTGTGCAACGCTTATGTAAGAGGTGCCAAAGGGACGCTGCCAAGGCTCTGCTCTTGCTCAGGTGCCACCACGGGCTCACTGGGACTTGCTGCTGAGGAAAACGCTGCCATCCACACCAGTTTTCCTTGGTCAAGGCGCTGCCCGAGCCCCTGGGTGACAGATCTGTTCTTGCAGTGGTTATCCGAGGGTCTGGGATGTGTTAGTTTAGTTTTTGTTATCACTTCTGCCTCCTCGGGTTTTGCTCTTTCACTGCTTCTGCTGAATTGCATGGGAAAGTCAAAGAGATCTAGGTGTCAAATGTGTCTGAAGAGCATTGCAGGGGGATGTCTCCCTGCTGGTTACACTGCCTGGCAGGGATTCCTCATCGCTTGTTCCATTTCTGTACCCTTATTCTAGGGTTAGGAGGCCTCAATTCCTTGGAAATACCAAAAAGGGATAAAACTGAATCAGCTTTTTCCTCGGTCCTGAAGCTAAAACCTTCCTGACATCTTTCTGTTGTTTGATTTTTCTTTTTTTTCTTCCTGAAATATTTTAAGTGAAGCAGATCTTTGTTGCTTAGGAAATCCTGCTATTCCTGCAGCTCCCATTTCTCACCCCAAATTGTGCTGTGACCGCCTACATTTACATGGGCTTTGCAGCCAAAGGAATTATCTTTGCTGCTTCTGTAAACACGACTGCACAGAGGTATTTCACTGTGGAGGAGACAGAATTCCAGCAGTTAATTAAGTGACTTGTTTAATCAATCAGTCTGGAGGTTCTTCCTTCTGGAAGATGCTCCATAAACTAAAGGAGCTACTTAAGAATAAAATAAACATGGAGATAAAGAATCATCAGCCCAGGCCTGGTTTTACCTCAGTGGCTGTCTTTGCACCATCTGACTGTGATCCTCTTATTTCTCTTTTAGGAAAAGATTCATTCCCCAGAGTGTGGTGGGGCTTCCCAGGGAATGGTCACGTTTCCAAGGCTGCCAGAGCTCCAGGAGAGCTCTCAGGCACAGGGTGGGATTTTTGGGGTGTCTGTGCAGGGCCAGGAGTTGAACTGGATGATCCTCAGGGTAATTCCACGATTCTACAATTTAGAGGTCACCAAGGCAGAGGATCTCTCCTAAGCCAAACTTCCCATCTATTTCCAATCCTGTTTTTAATTTGTCCCCTCTCTCCTGCCCTGACAGGCAGATGGACACCATTGAAAACATCCTTCCTCACCAGCCTCCTTTTTGTTTGCAACGTGGCTTTAGTGAGCCCAAGCCAAAATCCGTGCGTGCCAAGTTTGTTTCTAGGATTTCCCCCTGAAGATACACCTCAGCCAGAAAAAGGCTTCCAGCTCCTCTTGGCAGAACCAACCAAATCCACCTGCCTGGATGATTCAGCAGGATACATGCAAAATGTTCCAGCCAGGTTGGTGCACCTGGAAACAGGGGAAGCAGCCGGGTTTCCAGGCAGTGCTCTGAATTTCCCTTTTGAATGCTGTTTTTCATGGAAATGGCCATATTTTCCTGCATCCTTGTGCTGAGCAGTTGCTGTCTGTTCTCGACCTCTGCCCTCCTGTGCGTGCTCGTGGGAGGGAAGGGCATCCAGCTGGTTTCCTTCCTTTGAATGCAAAGAGCACAATCAGCTGCAAAGTCTCCTGAGATGCATCTACGTAAACGGGGTGACACAAATATAATGTATAGCCACAGTGCCCCTCTTCCTTCCGTGAAAAACAAATCCTTGCACACAGGCCTGAGCTGTGTCTTGTTCAATTCTCCTGCTCCTGCAAGGGACAAAAGGCTTTTCTCTCCCTTTAATGTCTTTTCTCTCTTCCCACAGCATCTCAGCACAAGCCCTGGAGAGATCCTCAGTCTATGGCAGACTGATGCTTCCTTGAGCAAGTGAATTCCCAAGCTGGACATAAGAAACATCCAACAGCCCTGGATGTCTCCTCCTTCTCTTGCCCTTGGCTGTGTTCTCTCCATCCATCTTGCCAGGATTTCTCTCTCTTTCTGCTCTTTATTTTTTTGCAGGCATTTTTTGTACTTGTCATCACGTGCCCACATCTGCTGCCATCCCAACTGGCCCCCAAAGGGCCATTCCAGAAACAATAAACCATTCAGGATCCCACAAAATCTTCCCTATCCCTCTTATTCTGGATTCTGATAGCAGAGCAGGTGAAGCAGCATGAGCAGCACTGAAAGCTGCCAAAGGAATGCCAAGAAGCTTTAGGAGGTGCAGGGACTCAGGGG